TAATTTTTCAAGTGTCAAATTGAATTTTTGTTCAATAAAAATCTTTCAAATGCAACTGCAGCTTTTTTTCCCCAAAAAACTTTGTCTCCAAAATAAGGGTGCGTCTTATATTCCGAAAAGTACATTACGTCTTTTTTCGAGATCATCAATGAGGATGAAACTATATGAAACAAGTAGAACTCAGTAGCATGCAATGTTCTATCTCCATTCCACGTCTTAACTGAATTCAAAGCAGCAATTAATTGTCCTTTTTATGCACTACTGTGCAAAAGTCTTAAACATTTTGAATTTCCTACTTTAATGCATAAGGTAACCAAAACTTTGTGTTTAATGCAAATATGCCTTTATGGGGATAGCATAGTGGATTAAAATTTGTTTGTTCCTTGCTCCAGTCAATGTACCATACATCTTCAGCAATTGTCGAACACCACTTAAGCATATGCACCCCAAAACTTGAACTGAACCTCTTCCATGCTTAATTTTTGACTTCAAGCAAGGCTGCTTATAAGTTTCAGTTGTTCATCATCTCACATCCTGTTTTCATTTAGATCCAAGTAACTAAAATTTTGATTCATCTGTCCAAAGCACCTTTGACTATTGTTCTATAATCCAATTTCTGTGTTCCTGTGCATATTTCAACCTTTTAGGCTTGTTCCCCTTTCTTAACAGAGGTTTTCTTACATCAACACAACCCTTAGGTTCTAATTTCAAAAGTGACCTTCGTATTGTTGATGGAAGGACAATGACACCTGAGCCTTCTGCCAGTTCTGCTGTCAACTCAATGATTGTCTTCTTTCTATTCCTTAAAGCTATTATCTTCAAGTATTGTTCATCCTTGTTAGACAGCTTTTGAGGTCATTCAGTCCTTGGTTTGTCAATTATAGTTGATGACTCTCTGTATTTGTTGATTATGTTTTGGATACCACACCTTGAAAATTGAGTGATGCAAGCTACTTCACTCAATGTTTTTCCTTCTTTATGCAGAAACACAATTCTATGGCAATCTTCTACTGAAATTTCAGCCTTTTTTTAAGATAACAGTTAATTCTGATACATCTGTATTTTGTAGCACAAAATGTAACCAATTAGCTTTATGGATGTTTAGAAAGAAACAAGTGGTGTTAATAATAAGGAACACCTGACAGCAAATCATCAATTAGCTTTGACTGGTAAATGTGATAGATTAGCTAATAAATTTTATATTGGCTGCTCATGTATAGTTCACTTTTGAATTGCCGTGATCACAGGTTTTTGAAGATTCTGATCAATGTGAATTAAAAATTGTTAAATGACAAGCTTCATTTCTTCTCCCCCAAACTAAGCTGTATTAGTAATAGTCAGTTGTTTTAATAGTAGAGAACACTAGTGGAGGCTTTGAGTAAATTGTTGATGATCATAACATATATATATATATATACACACACACACACATACATACATATAGTGTCTCTCCTGAATGTGCTTAAAGTATTTGCACATCAGTGCATATATAATAGGCCATTCAAGTGTCTACAAGTTTTTTCTTTTCATACTTCAGAATTACCTACATGATCATAACATAACATAATGTTTTGGCTCAACATGGGACTTATTGGTCCATCTTGGCTGTTCCATCCTCTGAACTAAATTAAAACAATGAAAATATGTTAAAGCCAGCCCTTATCATTCTCTTAAGCTCACTTAAATATACTACCTCTACAACATCTAAAGACAACCCACCCATTCCAAAGGCCAACCACCCTGTTAGAAAAATGAAACTGTCTTAGCTGAAGATAATTCCTACCTTGCCAAAATGTATATTTGTGTCCCCTAGTCCTACTATGATCATTGTTTAATATAAAAAAAAAGATACATCAACACTATCAATTCCCTTTACAATCTTAAACACCTCAACCATATCCCCCTAACTCTTCTTTTTTCAATCATCAAATCACTTACAAACTACAACAGTCAGACACACTTTCTAATACAGCACATGCAAGCTGAAATCATCTTAGTATATAAGTTATGTCACTATTGACACTGTACATACTTTTACAAATATTCAAGGATGAATCCTTAGATTACCAAAACTTGATAATATCCATATATACAATGTATTAATTTCTTCTGTGAAATGAACTGCATCTGGAAAATGCATGGTAACTCACAAACATAGCTCATCATGCTTACCATATTTTTCAGAATATAAGACACACCCTTACTTTGAAGACAAAGTTTTTTGGGGAAAAAAGCTACAGT